AGGGAAAAAAGCAATGCTTTTTTTTAGTACCAGAATTTATAAAATGATACAAAATATTATGACATTTGAAATACTTCAGGAGATTTTTGAAAAACTGGGTCTGAAATTAGCAGTTATAATGATGTCTGCTCCTATGGCTACAATATGTCCAAAAGATGTTAATGAAGGAATGACAGGTGTAAAAGAAAATATTTTGAGAAATTTACAGGATAAAGAGATGTTTTTTTTTACCTGATGTAAAAATATTAGAACCAGAAATACTGGATAATAGAAAAAGTGTAGAATAGAAGAAAGAGAAGATAGCTAAATTGGAAACACAAATGACCAACCAAGGGAATTACCGGGATAAGGACTTTTTACTGGCTTTACAAAACTAATTGGTTAAGGTGGAAATACAAATCATAAACCAAGAGAATGACTTGGATGATGACTTTTTATTAGATTCATTAAATAAGTTTGTTAAAGACTTTTTTTTGTTAAAGAAACCTTTGGGATGGGAGAAAAGAAAAATTATCTTTGGTAAAACAAACAAGCTCTATATTATTCCTTTTACTTCTAACGTTCTTGATCTTTAATTTATCCAAATGTTGTTGTGGGATTCTTTCTTTTCCTTCCTTCCTTCCTTCCTTCCTTCCTTCCTTCCTTCCTTCCTTCCTTCCTTCCCTCCCTCCTTCCTTCCTTCCACTTTTTATTCTTTTTCTCTCTCTTTTTCTCTCTGAGATCAGTTTGTATTTGTTTTACCATTATCATCAGAATTTTTAATAAAGAAAACTTATCATTTGCCAGAACAATTATATACTTACATTGTAGGGCACAGACCTATTCAGCATACCTCATAAAAATTAAATTTAAAAGACCAAAATAATTCTTTAATAGGTAAAAAAAAATAGTTTTTAGCTTACAGAAAAGGCTAGTGAAGTACTTAAATTATAAAGAATAGAAAAATCCTGGTCATCCAATGAAGCAGAATTGTGAAGATTCAGAACAGATTTTTTTTAAAAAACAACATCTGAACACATATAGTTACACTACAGTACTTGCCCCTGGTATGTGTTACTTATTCAAAAGAAGTCAGGCAGCTGTGAATGCACAAACCTCCCCACTACTGAAGAAGATGCAATAACATTTTGAAAAACTTAGAAAACATATAGGTAAAGATTTACATAACTTCATGGAAAAAATTACTAGAGAAATATTAAATATTACTTTCTAATTCCGAGAGACTACATTTGAATAACATTTCTTATAAAATAGAATTATGAGGATTCTAAAAAAGAGGTGGATATGTTTTTGTTTTCTATGATGAAAAAAGTCCAAAAGCAGACATACTATGGTCCACTTGTGGGCTTTTAATAACTTTCTCATCACAGCTTCTGCATGTAATATAATTCATACTAGATGTGACAGCATTCTATTTCAATACATCTTTTCAATTATGCATGTACTAGTGTTAATACTATATACTTCTGATTTTCCTCCAAAATATTTTATTTCTCATTAGAAGTAATTTGCAATATTGTGAGGCAGAGAACTATGGTATTTATTACAGCTAAAACCAGTGTGAGGACCCCAAGGCCTATAGACTACACAAAGCCCTCCTAACTTTCACTTGTGGTCCTCATAGCCCTACAGACTGTATCAATCCAAGCAAATGGATAAGTGGAGAGGAGATGGAACTATTATCATCATAATTATATCTATAATATATCTTTCTGTGTACACATGCTGCACAAATAAATATTGCCAAGGCTAAAGTCTCATAGAACTGCTTAAAAAGTCTAAATCTGCAAAAAAAAAAACCTTCTCCATACAGGATTTTGAGAAATATATAAAGGGATTAACTCTCCCCAAAGCCTCAAAATGAAAAAAGTCCAAAAATTTTAGTAGCATTGTAATACTGTGCTATAACCCCAACTCTAAGAAGCCATTGTACACCAAGGAATTGGTTCTGTCTTCCTAAAAATGATTTATTTATTTAATATGTTGGTGACCATTAATGATAGGCTACAATTAATGAACTGTTACGAATATGAAATAATTTAGACCAAGGCTTGCTAGTTGTTTGTGCTTTTAATACAGTGATTACAGTGATTACTTCCAGCTCTATTCTGATTGATTGAAATATATTAGAGACCCCTGGTGGCACAGTGGTTAGAATGCAGTATTGCAAGCATACTCTGCCCACAGCCTGGAGTTCGATCCAGACAGGGCTCAAGGTTGATTCAACATTCCATCCTTCCAAAATGAGGACCCATATTTTGGAGGCAATATGCAAATAATGCCTACTATGTAAACCACCCAGTGTTATAAACACTATGGGGCAGTCTAAATGCTATTGCTATTGCTATAAAGGCAAGTGTGTCAATTTTTTGCTTGTTCTGTCAAATACTTATTTTTCTTATGTTTTTATATAATTTCCACTGTATAATATCCAATTATATATATTATACATTTTATATCTAATGAAATGTAATGTTTGATAAATAAAATTATCATCATCATCTCCTTTGAGATAGTTCCTTCACAACCACAACTTACACAGTGCTTTGATACTAATAGAGGAGAATATTTGTAGCTCAGGGTTGACATGAGGGGTCCTTCGTGCTCTCTGAGCTCGCTTGTTTTCTTGCAGATGTTTCATTACTCAAACTAGGTAACATCATCAGTGCCAATAAGGAGTACAGTTTGCTGTCTGTTTATACAGTATTCTAGTGGCTTGCGTGTCAGTGTTGGTGGGATTCTTTGATAAGATTATTTGCTGTTGGCTTCTTTGGCAGTTTCATACAGTGTCTTTAGCCAATAATACTCCAATCAAGAAACTGCCAAAGAAGCCAACAGCAAATAGCCCAATCAAACAATCTCTAAGACCAACCCCATCAACACCAACAGGCAAGCCACTAGAATATAAACTGACAGAAAACTGCACTCCTTATTAGCATTGATGATCTTACCTAGTTTGGATAATGAAACATCTGCAAGAAAACAAGCAATCTCAAAGAGCACCGAGGGCCACTCACAGTGCTTTGACTGCAGTGGTAAACTGTCAAAACAATATTAGTTAATATAAAATTAATCCCAGAGAATGTATTTATTTAATCCAAAGCCCTAAAGCAGGGGTGTCAAACTGCCGGCCCATGGGCCGGATGCATCACGTGGAAGCTGCGCCCACCCCATTGCCGGCAATGGCAAAACTGCCCCGATACCTTGTGCAACGTCACATGACGTTGCGCGTTTGACGTGTCTGCCCTAAAGGAAGAAAAGGAAGATAAAACAGCAGCAGCAGACCAATAATTATGGAAAGTGCTATACTAGAAATACAATAGCTCCCAGAGAGAGAAAAGAGCTAGTGTTGGGAAAACCAAAGGAGTTGATAGGATTAAGATTACAATCATGGCAACTATTATCTATACATTATGTCAGGATGTCAAAATTAATTACATCTATTTTGAGCATGTGATGAATTGTTCAATTATGACAAACCCCCAGAAATGTCTGTGGGGTATACAATGACTTCATTACTTTTCATAATAATGTTAAAATTGCTCATTGTATTTTTTTCTATCTTTGTTGTGGGTTTTGGTTTACATTCCAGGAGTAAAGATACAAATGTTTCCCTTTCCAATCAAGCAAAAGGGAAGTAAGTGCCAACACTTTAAATCAAATGCATCTACCTGTCTGGCTAAAGAAAGAGATATGTTTATTATTGTCCATCAATTGGGTCTGAAAAATCTGCACCTGAGAACATACATCTTTACTCTCTATTATATTTGGTTGGTAAGCAAAACATAAAAAGTGCTCATCGTACAGATAGTTCTCGGCTTACAACTGATCACTTAATAACTGTTTGATGTTATGCTTGACTCCCCAAAATCTATTTATAATCCATTTTTGAAGTTACAACAGCTGCACACCCCTGTGGTCATGTGATTGCATTTTGGGTGCTTGGCAACTGGCTCACCTTTATGGTTGTTTGCATGTTCTGCAGTCTCATGACCATAATTTGTGACATTTTTTTCTGGTTTGTGTCATTTACTTCTAGTGTCCAGTGAAAAATGCCCATGGTATTTGCTTAATCACATTTGCTTAATGACTTCAGAATTCACTTAATGAATTAGCAATTGTAGGAATCTAAAGTTGACTTAAGTACCAGAGGAACTGGTGAAAAGCTAAGATATATTTGTTTTTAAAAATATAAAAATTATGCATTATTTTTTTAAGTTATTAAAAATAACTTTATAATATACTGAACATGATTAAGTTCAATATATTATACTATCTGAAAGTTCTCATATTTAGTTAAAATGCATCTCTTAATGGATGCATTCCTTGTGTAGAGCAGCCAGAATAGTCCAGTTCTGGGCAATCCCACCCTAGGATATTTTGGAAGGCTCAAAGTTGTAAAGGAGAATGTAATGTGCTTTAAGAGAACTCTCTATATATTGGAAATCAAATACAGGTAGTCCTCAAATTATGACCATAACTGAGCCGAACATTTCTGTTTCTAAGTGAAATAGTTGTTAAATGAGCTTTGCCCCCTTTTACAACCTTTCTTACCACAGTTGTTAAGTGAATCACTGCAACTGTTCTGTTATTGACACGGCTGATAAATGGGGAAGAACCTGTCTTCCCCATTGATTTTGCTTGTCAGAAGATCACAAAAGGTGATAACATGACCACAGGGATGCTGCAATGGTCATGTGAAAAATGGTCATAAGTCAGTTTTCTCAGTGCCATTGTAACTTTGAATGGTCACTAAATGAACAGTTGTAAATCGAGGACTATCTGTAGATGTGTTTGAAGATGTTTTTGGCTTTATATCTTCCAGTAAAAGTTTTTAAAGTGATTCTAGTATAGAAAAAAATCAGAAACACAAATGCTTGAATGTGTAGAAAATGTGTTCAATTTTGCATACGTAATAATTCATTGAAGTTATCAAATAATCAAATAATCATTCTGAACTTCAAAACAATTAAATCAAATGCAACATTTTTTGTACGTACGAGATCCTTCTGTTCTAATTTTCTGTGATGGTATACTAGGATCTCCTGTCCCTAAAATATTAGTTGCCATTATACGAAATTCATATTCCATCCATGGAATTAAATCAATAACTTTTGCTGATTCCGCATTTCCATCAACAATGGAAGGATCTAAATACAAGAAGAGACAATAATTAAAAACAGCATCGCAACAAAAATATCATAACATCCAATATTGGCTTGCTCAAATGATATTGGTTGCTAAATAAACAAGTTTAATTTCTCTAATGAATCCAGAAATAGGGATGGAGAAATCTGCCAGGATGATTTTTCTGTTTTTCATTTTGCCCATTTTGAATTGTTTTTGTTCATTTATTCAGCAGGTTGTAATTTTTAAAAATAAAATGTGTATGCAACACATTTCTTTGAAAAGAACTTTCCTTTTTTTTAATAGCCGCAGTTTAAAAGCTACATTCCATATATGTGTTTATACATTTTTCACTAATATAGGTATTATTTTTGTACATTTTTATGCACCTTTTGAAAAAAAGTGCAAAATTCTGAACAGTGTGAATGTCAAGAGATAACTGCATTCATAGCTGCACATCCTTTAGGAAATACCTCATGATATAATCATGGACTGACTTTTTAAAAGGATATTATAGTATTTAATGGGTAAAACAATTACTTGAAATATTAGTCAGAAGCACATTGGTAATCAATGTGATTGGTGTAATAAATATTACACAAGAACCAATTGCCCAAACCAGTGCTAAGATAATGTTTTTGTGCTTGCTGATACAATTTTTTGAAAAGCAGCCTGCAAATAATATTGTTTGGATATTACAAGCGTTTTCTTTGATATTGCTCTTACATGAACATCCTATTAATAATAGGTCTAGTTAGTAGAATCTTTAACGAGCTCATTTCATCCTTCTTTGAGAATATTTTCATACTGCCTAAAATCAGTGTTTCTCAATCTTGGCAACTTTAAATTGTGTTGATTTCAACTTCCAGCCTGTTGACTGGAGAATTCTGGAAGTTGTAGTACTCACATCTTAAAAGTTGCTAAGGTTGAGAAACACTGGCTTAGATGTTCTCTGTCATCTATACAAAGCTGACTCCCAAAAAATGATTCAGTATTTTTAGTTGATAATTCTGGAAGTTATTCCTCCAACCATGATCTCAAAACTATATGGTTCCCAAGCCTTATATAAATAGATAGCTAAGAAGGATACCATTGTAGTTAACATGGTTTCATAAGAGAAATGGCATTTATAGAATATGGACCCACACAAATCCAAATTGTGCATTCATATTAAACAACAACAAATAAATTGGGAGTAATTTGAGTTACAACACATACAGCAACAATTTAAGCATAATGGATAAGATGCAATAGAACAAATTATGAACTGGTTCTTCTAATTTAGCTGTAAGGAGATATACCCATGCTACATATAGCATAAAACATAGAGTTGTACTCTAGGGGTTGCCTTAGATACATACAGTCTTGCCAGTAACAGGCAAAGGCATTAAGGAATATAAAGGGCATATGCAAATATATTGCATTACACTTTACTTTAAAATCTGTATAATAATGATTAGTGCAGAGTATCACACCAGTCCATCTGTTCCTTACACTACTTCCCATTTTTCATGTGTATCTCACTTTCCCAATTTATATTCTAATATGTCTAGGCTATGGTAGTTAAAGTAAGTTATGTATTTTAACCAATGCTAATTTTATAAATTGAGGAGGTCATCTTACATCCATATAACAATGGAATAAATTAGTGAGACAAAGCAGCAGAAATATAAACACATTACATACATCTGTTACTAAGTTGGATAGATTTGAAGATCACCTGGAAGACCTTTGCTTGGGACAAGTTGAGTGTGAATGTACAAACTGTAAAATGTACAGGTTGGGAGAGGATTTGCAAAAGAATCGTGGCAGGGAAGAAATATTCAATCCTTCTTAAAATAAGCCATAATTCTGGATTTACAACAGACAGTTTTATATTCTTGTAACATGTTACGCCCAAATAAATACACTGCCCTTCACTCAACACATCTTGCTAATGCATGCTAGAAAAATGGCCAGGTACATACCACATGCTGAGCTAGACTTTTGGCTAGACTTATATGCTGTGCAAATATAGCAATTTTGTCTTAAGATGTACAATTTAGCAAAATAATTGCTAATTTAGCAAAATTATTTTGCTGTTATTGCAGTAATGTAATATTTTATGACACTTAACAGGCTTGAGAAAATCATATGAAAACCTGCTATACTTTGAGCTTTGAAGTGCATTTCTAGTGGTTAAACGATTGTTGAGCCAAAAGTACAAGTACTACCATATAAACTGATTCATTTTGTTGTTGTTTCTAGTTTGTAGCACATTATCAGGAGTAATTAAAACAGTGTTCTGCTGATAAAAGTGTTTTATGAATGAAACTATACCAAGAATAATATTTTATTATTTAGGCCCCAAGCTAATATTTTTAATAAGTTCCTTACCTGTTTTCATGTCTTTCCAATACTTGGACAGAAAAGTCCTTGACTGAATAGTGTAATTTGATATAGGACTATGATTTTCTATCCCACGGCTCCATGTAAGAAATACAGATGTATTTTTAATGTCTTCTACTTTGAGTCCTCCAGGGGGTCCTGGGGGACCTGAAAAATATTTCCATGAAAAATTATAACACAATCTTGCCAAAAAGTGAACCAATGTTAAAAAAATAAAATGTTTTAAACTATCATCATATTTAACTGAGTTAAATTATTTCATTACAACTTTCTGTATTCTACATATTAAAATTTAATCTCCAAACCCTCAGGTAGTATAGCCAAATGAAATGTTGACCATTGAACAATACTAGGGAATACTAGATTGAAAAGGGCATTTTATTTAGTAACATCATAGTTTTGGTCTCATACAAATTTCATACACTTGTGCGAGCAGAGGGCGGGGAGCATGTGAGTGGCAGGCATGCATGTGCTCAGCTCCATTGGTGTGAGTGGCGCATGTGCACGCTTCCTCTCACACAAATGGAGCTTCGCACACAAGCGGAGGGCGCTTGGGCTTACGTGTGAAGCTCCACTTGCACGAGTGGAGGGCACTTATGCTTGCGTGTGAGGCTCCACTCACGCGAGTGGAGGGCTCTTGAGCAGAGGGTGCTTGTGGGCAGAGCTCCATTCATGCAAATGAAGTTTGCATGCGAGCACTCTCTGCTCACACAAGGGGAGCTTTGTGCATGAGCACAAATGCCCTCCTCTTGTGTGAGTTGAGCTTCGCATGCCAGCACAAGCACCCTCTTCTCAAGCAGCTTTTGGTCGCATGAGTGGAGCCTTTGTGCATGACTGCAAGTGCCAACCGCTCGTGCAAGTGGAGCTTCACATGTAAGCACAAGCACAAGCTTTGCACAAACATGTGCACAAAACTCCATTCACACAAGTGGAGAGCATGTGTGCCCACTACTCACACCAATGGAGCTGTACGTGTGCATATGCCTGCCACTCACAAGCCTCCCCCTCACTGGATTGGACTGCCAAGGTGGAAAGGTTGCAAACTGCTGTCTTAAAATACAGAATATGATCTCTTTTTCTTGAATCCTATCTCTTATCTATAAATAAATCCTTAAAGCCTCAGTGTTTCAGTCATGATCAGGAAAAATCTATTTAGGGTTACCAGAGATACCAATATATCTATTTTAACCTTGATCAGGTATGCCAATTTTATATTCCTTCCTATATTTTCTTCTAAAGATCTTAACCTTTTCATTTTTCTTTATCTCTTCTCACAAAATTTTTCAAAGCTTTAATAAGCCTATTTTGTAAATCCATTACAGGAAAATTAGGTAAGTCACTCTCTTCATTTATTGTTTGTATATCCCTTCAAATATTAAGACATCAGCAGCTTTCTTTTAAATGTCCAGTGCATCTTTTTCCATGTCATTCTTGTAGCATATCATCTGTAAATCCACTTTCAAATCAGTCTCTATCTTGTCAGGTAGAACATGTTCCTCTTCCATAATATCTCTTAGACATAGTCTTTCCATTGAGGCAGATGTCTCTGTGGGCACCATTAAAATTAACTTCTGAGTTCATTGTTCAAAAATATTCATCAATATGTCCAATGTTAGAATATTTTGCTTCATTCTGTAATTGTAAGTTCAGTTTATGAGTTCTTTGTAATTTTTGTAGTTGTGATATTTAGTCCCTCTAGTCTCTAATTTTTAAATTTTCATTTTAGTTTTTTTTTAAAGAAAATTCAAAACAAAAGAATTTCCCCTAGGACTGTGGTGGCAAACCTATGGCACGCGTGCCAGACTGGAGACGTAGAGCCCTTTCTGTCAGCACGTGCGCCAGAGGGACACTGCCCTCCTTTTTTCCACGTGCACCTGACTAGTAGGAACTGGAGAGGGCAGGAAAACCGAATTCAGCAGCGCTCTCACGGGAACAGCTGTGAGAGCTGGGCCGGGAGAGGGGAACCAATATAAAAGTAGGTTTTGGTGGGAGTGCAGCAAGAGAGCGAGTGAGCGAGACGGCCTTTGGAAGTGATGGTGGGCGTGAGTTTGGTGAAGACAACTAGGACAAGGTGTCTGTTTGCACACTTTGCAGAAGGCTAGTGGGAGAAGGAGGACACGTAAGTTTGGACTTTGGAGAAAGAGAGAGAGAGAGAGAGAGAGAGAGAGAGAGAGAGAGAGAGAGAGAGAGAGAGAGAGAGAGAGAGAGNAAGGAAGGAAGGAAGGAAGGAAGGAAGGAAGGAAGGAAGGAAGGAAGGAAGGCCAGGCTTGCCAGCGCTGCTGGGCAGATCAGCGGCGAGGCCTGCCCAGGTGACACCGAAGCAAGCCAGCCCTTCTGCAGGAGTGAGGGGGGAGGGGGGAGAGCGGCTACCCTGAGCAACGTGCCTGCCTCCCTTCAAGCTCCCTCGGCCTCTCCACCCCCCTCCAGGCTGGGGCTGGTCAGATTCCCCCCGTGGGCAGTGCTGCACCCGCTGCCAGCCCATCCCTGGCCAGCCCTCCTCTTCCATCCTCCTTGACTGTGACGCACAACCCCTGGTGCTGCGATGATGGCTTCCCTGCTCTGGGGTCCTCTCCTTTCGCGGCCTCTGCCCGGCAGCCAGCACACCGCCTGGCCGAAGTCGGGGACAATGGCCTCCCTGCCCTCAGCCGGTCTGTGATCCCACCTCCCTGCCTTCAGCCGGTCTGTGATCCCACCTGGGGAATTGGCGGATCGTCCTGCGGTGCAGTCCCACGCTGCCCGCTCCAAGGTTCTCTCCTTTTGCAGACTCCACGAAGCCAGGGACAATGGCTTCCCTGCCCTTGGCTGGTTCGTGATCCCACCTGCTGGGCGGGGAATCAGAGGATTGTCCCTCCACGCAGCCCCATGCTGCCCGCTCCAGGGTCCTCTCCTCCTTTTGCGGTCCGGAGGCTCTCACCCCTCTCCCCTTCAGGTGCGTCAGACCGATTGGAGGGAAACTTCTGCAGCCGCAAAAGTGGAAGGTGGCTATTCTTCGCTCTGGGCATCCCTAGTGCAGCCAGAGCGCTACCTGGCTGAAGCCAGGGCCAGCGTCATCGCAGTTGCTGCGCCTGAGGGTCAGCTTCTTTCCGTGCCACCAGTTTCCCTCCCCAACATGTGGGCCGGGTATCTGAGACGTCCTCGGGGTGGTGGTTCAAAGCCTCGAGCTGCCTCACATGACCAGACCGGGGACCAGGGATCTCCTCAACTCCCCACATCCCCCCCCTGAGCAGAGAGGTCCCGGGCCAAGCCGAGTGCCCGGTCCCGTAACAGTTAAAACCCAGCTGTGCCTGAGTCTTGTCTTTCCGTTTGTGGAGGCGCACCTTCATGGTCAGGCCAGCCAGCCACGCAGCAGAGGAGGAGGACGAGGGGCGGTCGGGTGTCTGGAGCTACCTTGGCTGCTTGCTGGCCTCAGCAGGCCCCAACGAGGTAGCGTTCACTCACTGGCTGCCCAGCCTCGGGCGGCGGCGGTGATGGTGGCGGTGGTGGCAAAGCCAGCCATGCAGTGGAGGAGGGGGTGGCCGGGTATCTGGAGCTGCCTCGGCTGGCCTCAGCAGGGCCCAACAAGGCAGCCTTCACTCATCAGCTGCCCAGCCTCGTGGGGAAGTGGTGGCGATGGCGGAAATGGAGGCGGTGATGCAGGCGATGGCGGGAATGGCGGCGGTGATGCAGGCAATGGCAGCGGTGGAGGCAGCAATGGCGGGAATAGTGGCGATGCAGGCAATGGTGGTGGCAAAAGTGGCAATGGTGGCAGCGATGCAGGCAATGACAGCGGCGATACAGGCAGCGGTGGAGGGGGGAATGAAGGGAATGGTGGCGGTGCCAGCAACGATCCCTCCATTGTCAGGCCAGCCAGCAATTTAGCAGAGGAGGGTCGGCCGGGTGGAGATGCCTCGGTTGCTCGCTGGCCTCAGCAGGCCCCAACAAGGCAGCGTTCGCACTCCAGCTGCCCTGCCTCGTGGCAGCAGCGAGGGGTGGGCGTGTGCCACAGTGTGAAAAATGGTCTTAAGTGACTTTTTAAAGTGCCGTTGTCACTTCAAACAGTCACTAAGTGAACTGTTGTAAGGCAAGGACTACTGTACTTTATCACTTTTTCCCTTTGGGGGGGAGTCATCAAGTTTTTGACACCTTGCTAGGTGATTGGAAAAGTCCTGAGTTAGAGTACTCGGATTGCCGCTGCTTTCTTGCAGGTATGTGGAATGGCATGGACCCACAGGTTTTGCAAAGTTAAGTGAGGAAGTTGGTTACAGCTTATTAGCAAAGATAAAATAGACAACCAAGAATGCTTTATTGACCATTCTTCATCCAGATTTTATATCAGTTGCATCTGCTAATACAGGTGTTCTGCTTCAGATTTCTGTTATTTTCAGTATCTGGTAAAATGAATGAGTACTTTTCCAACAACCTGTAAAATCCAAGACACTGTTATTGTGTTTTTGGGAGGTGGAGTGAGTGGGGGATTTTTTACTTTTTGCCTCGTTTTGCTCTTTTAAAGAGAACGCACTCCCAACGCCCCCCTGCATAGCCAGAAGCCTTGCGCCATCGCCGTTCACCTGCCGCGCTCCCCCAGCCCCTTTTCCTTCTTTTGAAACATACAACCCCCCCAATCCTCCTGTTCCTGCCTTCTGAATTAAAATGAGAGAAAGCCAAGTTTTTTCTTTTGTGATCTTTACATATTTGAACTGCAGCTAGAAGGAAGTGGGGAAGAAAACCATCGCGAGACACTCTTCTGTTTTAACTTTTTTTCCTTGTTGCTTTTTGGAGTTTTCATCCTACTTTCATGAGAGGGCAGCATTTGAGAGGGGTGTAGCTGCCCCCTTCCCCCCCAAGCCATCAGCTGAGCAAGACATTTTATTCCCCTCCCATCTGCTGAGTGGTTGCAGCAGGTTTTGGTCTCTTCTGTCATGCTTTGTGGTTATCCATGAAGCATGTTTGTTTTGGGGGGGATCCCTACTCCAGTTGCTAAGCTTGCTTAAACCCTCTTCCTCTGCCTCTTCCTCCTCCTCACCGGAGCCCCGTTTTGTCTGCAACCAGCCCCGGCCCCTGCCTCACCTTGCCTTGCCCCACGGCAATGGCACCCCTGCCCTGCCCCCTGCCTTGCCTCACCTCACCCTGCAGGATGAGCCTCTTGCCCACTGCCCCACCTGCCAGAG